TGGACTATATAAATATGATTGTGCGACAAAAGCTAAAATTTTCAGAGGATAATATTCTTTTAAACTATATACCTAGTACATGGAACTTGACAATGGGACAACATAAATGGATTCTCCGCACCCTTACTATGGCCAAAGGACTGATCTTGCAGCATTGGAAAGATAAATGTACGGCCCATTCACTCAGTGGATTGAAGACCTGATTGCCCTTGCTACTTATGAGCAGATTGCCTATAGACATAGACTTTGTATGGACATGTATAATGAAAGATGGGACTCATTTATACAAAATACGGTAGGTTAAAAAGCAACACGATAATTCATATACTTATGTGATACTATATTTACACATGACACTAATCCAGATTTTTTAAAAGAATGATTCATTGACCAAACCATAATGGCATAGCTCACACATAACACTAAAGCCCCAATGCTTCAGTTTACAATACTAAGCCCAAACCAACCACATTACTGTTTATTGGGATGTGTAAACCAAACCACGGAGTTCGATACAACGTATAGCTTTAGTTTACATCAAGCAAGAGGCAGCTCTTGCTGATTATTTAGAACATGAAAGAGGCTTGTAAAGCAACCACATTTCCAGGCTTTATATTCTGACAAGAGACCCCTAGGAAAAACATTCTGACTCCCATTATGCAAACGCTTTCTAAAGACTACATTACCCAGAGCGCATAGCTCTCACACAAAGGGCGAACATTCTAACGCGGAGCGGAACGCACACTTCCGCTATTTCTGTGAAAAGAAGCATTGCGTAGTGGCGTTGATCGCGCAAACTAACAATAGACCTCAGAAAGGACCTTACGGGGCTTCTTATTCAGAAAGTCTCACTACGTAGAATTTCTCGTGCGCGCGTGTGAGATAGTGGGGTTGAGCAAAAGGGGCGTAGCCTCTGCTATGGCAGGCCCTCGCAGGTGGTTGTTGTCAGTCCCTGGCAGCGGGTTATGGCGACGGTGGTGATGAATGAATTCTCCGGGAGGGAGAGGGAAGAAAAAGGACTTAGGCGCCTCCAGTTCCCCGACTCGGGCCGCCGGGGCCTCCCCTTCATCAGCGGCCGGCCCGGCTCCCGCCCCACACCGCCAACAGGCGGCGGTGGCTTCTCCTCACAAGCGGAATCTCTACTACTTCTCGTATCCGCTTTTCGCCGTCTTCGCGCTGCTTCGTTTCCTCGCCTTCCAGCTCGGGCTGCTCTTCGCCTGGCTCTGTGAGCGCCTCTCCCGCGGCGGGGCGTTCATGGCCGCCGCCAAGGGCACCAGCCAGGCCGGGGATGCGCCCGAGTCGGTACGGACTTGTCACAAGCGCGCCTTCGAGTGCATCTCCACGGCGCTGCGCATCGACGAAGACGAGGCGGGTAAGTCCGAGGGAAACGGGCAGGGCCGGCGGACGAGTTGCCTGAGGGGGAAAGCAGGGAGACCGCGGGAAGGCTGCGATGTTCGCGAGGAGGAGTTGGGGAGTTAATGGAAACCCTCCTTTCTCGGCCCCTCACGCTTACTTCGTCTCAGTGCAGGGTCGGTGTTTCCTGCTTCGTCATAGCCACTGTTTTACTCCCAGGCTTATTGGCGAAGCAGTAGCGGGCATTACTGTACTAGGACCGAACACCTGCCCTGTCGCTTGATATGGATGTACATTAGAGCTGCTTCGCCTGCGTTAGTGACTCATCTCTAGGAGCGGGCGGGGGGTGCCGAAGGGGCAAGAATGGTCTCAGGCTCTGCATGGATCGAAGTCGCGTCCGGATTTTGAGCGCCAGCAGCGATTAACATAGCTTTTGGCTCAATAGGAGCAAAGAAGAAATGCTCTTATATAGGCCCACAATGCTGGGGGGGCGGGATTGCAAGGGTTGAATTGCCCAGGCCGAGAAGACCCATGTTAGAGCCGTAGCAGTAAAGGGTTCCTATGCATGAAGGATGTTGATAGGAAGGGCTTGTGGGTGGAGTCCATGTGAGGGAGGCTTTGTTGTGAATCTGAAAGAGACTTTGTGATATTCGGTTAGTCTCTTTGTTCTCTAGGTTCAGGTTGCATTTTATTCATACATTCCTCCTAGTCTCCTCTGTTGTTTGTAGTGACTCTTGGGCTTGCATTTTTACGGTAGTATATTATTAATGTGGCTAGCAGGGTGCTGTGTGTGTGCGTGCCTTTGAGTCAGATTTTGACTCCTGGTGACTGCCTGGACAAGTCCCTGCAGTTTTCTTGGCAAGGTTTTTTGGAAGTGGTTTGCCATTCCCTTCTTTCTAGGGCTGAGAGAGAGTGACTGGCCCAAGATCACCCAGCTGGCTTCATGCCTAAGGCAGGACTAGAACTCTCGGTCTCCAGGTTTCTAGCCTGATGCCTTAATCACTACACCAAACTGGCTCTATGGCTAGCAGTACAGAGGAGAAAAATATTTTCAGTAAAATGGTGAGCTATGGAGGCAAGGTATCCAAAATGGCTTTTTCATTTCTGTATATGGTTGGGCTGGTATATAGTAATAACTTAAATAAAAGTATGTTAACGTTAGGAGGAGTTTGGATGGTACAAGTTGTGACTTGTCAGTTGCAGACTTTCAATGACTAATATCAAGTTGCTGATAGTAAAGTTTTGCAGCAGAAATAACCCTTTGATAGAAGTGCTTAAATATCTACCAATAGAAGAGAATATAAGAGCACTGAAGATGATACCTAGTCAGGTAATGAAACGTCTGCAAGAAAACAACCAAGTTCAGAGAACCCCAAGGACTCTACAGTAAAATATCTACACCTTGCAAATGTGTAGATTTTGTGAGATCCACTAATAGAAATCTTTCTTAATGAAGTAGATGAAACTACCTTAATGTGTTAATTTTGAACAGCATCACTATGCTACATTAGATCAGAATAGATCAGTTCATTTTTTGCCTTCTATAAAATATATTCAAAGCAGTTCACAACACATACACTGGAACTGATAATTGTTAAATAATAAACAACACCTATAGTGTTGTATTCTTGTGCCTACTTATTCAGTTATGCATCAAAGTGACACTTTCCCAAATATACTTTTTTTTATCCCACCTTTATTATTTTTATAAATAACTCAAGGCACCGAACATACCTAATATTCCTTCCTCCTATTTTCCCCACAACACCAACCCTGTGAAATTTGTTGGAAAATATGTATATGTACACTGAATCAGACCATTAGTTAATTATTGTCCAATAATAGTATATTTGAAAACCAAGAATTCTCCAAAGAGAAATCTGCCACATCACTGTTACATAAGATTTTAAAAACTGGAGATGCCAGGCATTGGACCTGCAATAATTCAATTTTGCTTATTTTTGAGTTTCATGTCTATGTTTAAAAAATTAAAAGCTATTTTTAGAACTTGATGAACATTTCTGCTCTGATGTTCTGTTTGTATTCTGCAACAAGTAAATGAACTTTCTGCTTTGTATACAGCATAAGATTTACTCCAATTCTGTACAGTAACACAGTGTGAAATATTTTGATTGAACTTTAACAGCAGTGATGAATTTCCAGTATCTCTTTGGTGGTGGTTTTATGACATACAGACCTACATATTTTAACCTTGTTCATATTCATATTTTAGTTTATGGTAAATTGAATAAACCATGGTTAACTATGGGTTAGTGTGATGCAATCCCAGCCATTCTCAAATCTCTATTTGTATATGGGGAAACTGTTGTTCCCAGTTGCAGAGTTGCTTGTTTGTTACTGAGCATGTGTCTCTCTCAGATGATATATTACTGCTAGTTGTTAAGGGATTAAAGGCAATTGCAATCATAAGTGTAAATTTGGTGTTAGAGAGATACTGTTGACCCATCAGGAGACTTGGTCCCTCTCCTTCCAGTAGCTATGAAATTGCCCTTTGATTCTTGAATTAAAGTCAAGAAGGAAAAAAAATACTTCTAAGCTGAGAACCCTGCAGGCATACATAGACATTTTCCTCATGTTTTTATGAGACTAATAACATGCTATACAGTGGCTTCTGAATGTTAGCAGTGAAAAATCACTCTGAGCTTTATTTAAGATTGCATTTTTTTGTAATATACAAGCTAAAAGTAAGAAAAATATACAAACTTAAGGATAGCAAACTAGAATATACAGATTTTAATTAGGATTAATTAGGATTAAAAATACTGCCTAATGCATATACATTCCACTACTGAAATGATTGTTAATGCATGTTCACCTATATTCAGTGACAGATCTAGTAATAAGAAAACAATCTGTCATCCAGTTCCCAAGTAATCAAATTGAATATCTTGAAAAGTTGTATGAAACATTCTCATATTTCTATTGCAGACATATATGTAAAAAAAAATTCTGGATTGTTGATTTCATTATCATCACATTAAAAGCTTTGATAGCTTATTTATTTTTATTTATCAAATTTATATGACTGCCTATCTCACAAGATGTTACTCTGGGCGGTGTACAACAATCATATAAAACAAATATATAAAAATATAAAAACCATTATTAAAAATTAAATATACAAACCACAAGTCACGGAGGGAGGGAGTATATCAACCACAATAGGGGAGCCATCTTAGAATGTCACCGGTTCCCTAGGACTCCAAACCTGGTGACATAACCAGGTCTTGAGGAACTTTTGGAACATCAACAGGGATGGAGCTAACCTGACTTCAGATGGGAGAATGTTCCATAAGGCGGGCACCTCAGCGGAGAAGGCCTGCCTCCTGGGACCCATGAAATATAAGTCCCTCACAGATGGTACCTGCAGCATGCCTTCTCTGCCAGATCTAATGGGACAGGCTTCTAGATAAATTATATAGTATTGCCTATCTCCAATAGTTTCTGAGTACCTGGTATATTCAGGCAGAGAGAGTGCAGTCCAGGTTCGCTCAATTAAATGTTGTCATCTTGAGAAAGCATGCCTTTGTGTCACAGCCTGTGACCTCTGGAATAGCATCCCACTAGAGATATGAATGGTGCCAACTCTTTTGAAGGCCCTTAAGACCTGGCTCCATTCTCAGGCCTGGTGTTAGCATATTTGTGGAGCCACTATTGTGTTTTTGACTGTTGGGCTGTTATTTTTTTTTAATGATTTTAATTGTATTTTTTATATGTTGTAAGCTACCCAGAGTAGGTGGCTGCAATACATCTATTATGATTAATAGTATTAGTAAGTACTGCACTTTAATTTTATTCCCTAACTGCAGATAGAAAGCTAAGAGGGAAATTGTGACCCATGTTCAGAATAATTATCTTGCTTGATAACTTGTGAATGGTCCCTACAGTGATAAGAGAATTGTATTTGCACCGTACACTAATCATAGCTTAACATAATCATTTTTTGCTAATTCCCTGCTTCTTTGGTTAGTGTACCGCAATGTTTGGGGTGGTTGGCAGCTGCAATTCCTGCATGCTCTTTTATACAACAGTGGGTCAATTGAGGTCAGGAACAGGTTGAGTTTGTTCCCTCCTTTGGTCTGATTCACTGATACTGACAAATATATGAGGTGGGAAAAAAGGAAATATGATAGATCTACTTTACAGATACAATTCCATCCCTACCTCCTCATTTTCCTGGAAGATTAATATAGTAGTCTGAACTGCTATATAGCCTAGCATGTCTTACAAACCAGATGAGAGTGTTGTGAATTAATGTAATTCTTTGTTTAAGAATAATTGTGAGAAGAAATATAATCTTAAAGGAAAAATATTTTTAAAAAATCCTCCCACTTGATAAAAAGATAGGAGTTTGAAACACTACCTAAGCTTACAACTAGCTTAGGACCAAACTTAGCCATTTAAGTGCCTTAAAGATATACTGCTAGTTTTGCATCTAGTATTTAGACATCTTTCAGCATGTTCCTTTAGTTTTTATATTATAATATATTGAATAGAATCAAATAGTCTAAGTGTTTGGGCTTAACTCTTTAAATGTTCGGGAAAGTACACTATTAAATGGCAATCATATACATTTAACTACTCAATGCTAGTAGCATGCTAAGCTACTTTATTTCCTCTTTGTAGTGCTGACTTTATGAGCTGCATACTTTTAAAGCTAGTGTTGGATTTAGATTACACTGCCTTTCAGTGATTCTGGTGTAATCCTAGTCTGATATAGTCATTATGCCACTATTATTTACTTTTTTAAAATAACATGTTTAAACATGTTTCAGTTAAATTCTATCCCTGTGGTGAGGTCTCGTACAGGGCAATTTACACTAGATGTAACTGTCTACCAACATGCTGTGGATTGAACAGATCTTGTTTGTAAAATCAGCATTTAGCTTTTATTGGCAAACTATGTAGGATCAAATTTACAAAGTATAGTTGATTTTTCTGCATCTCTGTTTTATTAAAGAGAAATATATCTAGATTTCTCATTTTTGTCTAAGACTACTAGGAGTACTTGTGTTTATATCTTCTTTCAAATTTTGGTTATTGTAGTACAGATAGCTTATGCTTTGTATACTGTCTGATGTTCCTTCATAATGAAAATAATCGAACCAACTTTTTTTCTCAGCAGGACAAAAGGAACAAGCTGTTGAATGGTATAGAAAGGGAATTGAAGAACTGGAGAAAGGAATAGCTGTATTAGTTATTGGTCAAGGTAAGTTCATTTTTAGTGTTATATGAAGGAGAGAAGCTGTGAATGTGGTTTGAAAATTCTGAGTAGATAAATAGTTTGGAAGAAGAGGAAATCTGGAAAATCCCTAGGATTTATTTATTTATTTCAAAAATTGTATACCACCAAATTATAATAATATGAAATAAGCATCCCAGTGGTCTCAATTAACTTCAAATAAAAAGCACACCTTTTAATAAAATGACATGCTGGTCCCTTAGTACAGCTTAGACACCAAAAAAAGATGTTTTGTAACATCTTAAATGTCAGAAGAAAGGTGACCAAGGTATACTGCTGGGCCAGTGTATTTCATATTGTATGCATGACACTGAGAAGGCCTGCCTTCTGGTCCACACTTTTCTCATGTCATACCAAGGCAGGACCTTGAGCAAGCCTTGCATAAGTGTGAAGATTTCAAGTTGATGAAAAGCAAGGATTTGACCTGCACTTGATACACAAAATTAGCATATAAAGTTTTCCTCAGTGTGGAAATAAATTTTCTCATTTCAGTGACTGCACAGCAAACTGTTGTTAAAGGAGCTGTTTAGTGAGAGGCTAATTTTGGAAGTCTTTACTTCCTGGTTAATATTTCTGTGTACAATAAGTTTGTCTGAATTATTCCAAATTCTGCACATGTTAGATTATTACTTGTTAATGCATCTCTCTGCTTGTCTAGATATCAGTCCTAAACAGAGTTAGATTAAATTCAGATGTTCATCTCAACCTTTACTTAGTTCAGGATTAAGGAACTTTTGGACTATATGTTGAGAACATACACACTGAGAACATATGTTGGACTCTAACTCCTGTTAATCCTAACCGTAATGGCCAGTGCTCAGGAATTACAATTACAATTGTAGTCCAGCATCATTTGAAGAAACATGACTTTCCCATCATTGGTTTAGATTATCATGATTGTAGCCTTAGTCTTTAGGAATTCCATTAAGGAATTCTGTACTATGTATAGGTAGTCCTCAGTTAGCAATGATATTTGGGATCAGAATTTCCATTGCTGAGTGATGCGGTCGTAAAGCATGACATCACACGACTGTATCACTTAGTGATGGCAATCCCGATTGCCATCATTAAGTGAGGATTGCGGGTTGTTAAGCAAGCACCTCCCATGACCGTGACTTGCAACTGCCTTCTGGCTTCCAGCAAAGTCAATAGGGAAGCCGGCAGGAAGTTGCAAGTGAGTGCTATGGAGCGTGGGCAGAGGTGGCTGCTGCAGCACAAGTGTAGCTGGGCGGGGGGGCTGCTGTGGAGTGCAGGAGGTTGCGCAGGCAGCTGCTGTGGTATGAGCACAGGGGTTTGCAGCCTGGCGCAACTGCAGCTGGGTGGACAGGTGTGCACTGTGGAGTGTGGGCAGGGGTTGTTGCAGGTGCGCACATGCTATGGAGTATGAGTTTCCATAGTTGGGCTCCTTGGGAGAAAAAGGAGCAGGAGTGACTTGCAACCTTCCCTACCGGCTTCCCCATTGACTTTGCTTGTGGGAAGCTGGCAGGGAAAGTCACAAACGGTGATCACATGACCATAGGACGTTGCAACCATTGTAAGTGCAAGCCGGATGCCAAGGACCCGAGTTGCAATCATGTGACCATCAGGGTGCTGGGACGGCTGGAACTTTGAGGACTGGTTGTAAGTACCACTCATTCAGCACTTTTGTAACTTCGAATGGTTGCTGAACGAGTGGTCTTTAACTGAGGACTACCTGTAATGCACTGCAGGGTTAACTACTTTTAGAAGACTTGCTGGTTGTTGTTATAAAGTGTATTCTCATAAGAACTCAAATATATTTGGAAAATCTGGATCACTATGATACTTACAATTTTGAAGACAAGAAACTTGTTCCAAAATAAAGCTGCGGAGCTGCTAACTGGAATTGGCTAATATCATATCATACCCTTTTCAATCAAGATTCAGGCTGGCCTATAGTACTGAGACAGCATTGGTTGCACTTGTGGATGACCTCTAGAGGGCTTGGGATGGAGGTGTCCTGGACCTTCTGGATCTGTTAGTGGCTTTTGATACCATTGACCATGGTATCTTGCTGGACTGGCTCTGGGGATTGGGAGTGGAGGGCACTGTTTTGCAGTGGTCTCCTCCTTTTGCTGCGGCAAGTACCAATCAGTGTTTGTGGGATGGAGAGGTCCAGCCTTAGGCCCATGTTATGTGGGGTGCCTCAGGGCTTGGGTCCCTCTCCCCTCCTATTTAACATCTATATGAAGCCACTGGGAGAGGTCATCTGCTAGCAGGGGTTTGGTATCATCAGTATGTTGATGATACCCAATCATACATCTCTTCCCAGTGCTGGTCAAGTGCTTGTTCAGTGCCTGGAGGCTGTAGGGGCCTGGGTGGGGACAAACCAGCTGCAACTCAACCTTAGCAAGATGGAGTGGTTATGGGTTTTTGGCCCCCCAGGGTCAGGAGAGTTGACATCTCTGATTCTGAATGGGATAACAGACATATCTGGTACACAATTTGGGGGTCCTCTTGGACTTGCAGCTCCTGCTGAAAGAGCAGCTGGCAGATGTAGCCAGGGGGCCTTTACATAAATCTGTCTTGTGTGCCAAATGCCCATACCTGGACTGGGAGGCCTTGCTCACAGTCAATCATGCCTTAGTCACCTCCCACTTGGATTACTGCAATGTGCTCTACATGGGGCTGCCCTTGAAGACCATCTGGAAGCTGCAACTGGTTCAGAATGCAGCAGCACATGCAGTTTTGGGTGTCCTACAGTTTACCTGAGTAACACCACTGCTGCATGAGCTACACTGGCTC